AGCTGACAACTAAACTGAATTTCAAACTATAGTCAGTCTGGTTGGCTATCATACAATCAGTTTCTAAAGGACTTGAAAATGAGTAACTACTGTTCAAGGGGTTTGGGCATTTGCATGAAGACATGGAACAGGGTCACTCTTTGTGCTCTCCATGAGAACTGTTTGGGGCTGTGTCTGAGCAATTGGTTTGAAAACCAAGTGAGAGAACAGAAAGGTCTAAGCTTTTTCTTCTGTCATTAGAACCTCAGGAACTCTCTCAATCTTGGAATGAGAGAAAGGCAGGCTCTTTTTCTCTCTCTCTCTTTCTCATGAGTGCACGTGCGCGCGCACATTGTGGTTTTATAAATTGTGATAGACTATAGAATTATCTGTTATGGAAGATTCAAATCCCATTTCCAAGGAAATTTCCTTTCTAAGGCTAGGATCCATTTCCTTGTCTCTCAGTCTTCTGATCAGTCCTGCCTGCTCTACCTTCTGTCACATTCCAGCCTGGTTTGTGCCAACAGCTCCTATTAGGTCCTCGATAACTCTGTATATGGCATTAACCCCACTTCTTTTCGACATTGCCTTTTGTACCCCCTCCCTCCACATAGTTCTTTACACACGCTCATCCCTGACCACTATTCACTTGTTTGCTTTCCATATTGAGATACTTTCAGCTGTATTGAACCGTGTTGAATAGCATTGACTTGTTCTTTTATTCTAGTGAACTATTTTTGAGTGTTTACCATGGTGGCGGGCACTAGCAGGGAGGGTTGAGCACAGCTAAGGAATGTGAGAGGCAGTATGTGAAGTCTAAGCACAGACTTTGCAATCAGTTGGGCATGGGTTCAAATCCCAGCTTGACACTTTCTGGCTGTGTAACCTTAGTCAAATGACTCACCTTCTCTGTGTCCCACTTTTCACATTTTCAGATGGAAGTAATTATAACACCTAGCTCACAGATGTATTGTTTTGGATTAAAGGATATTATGGCTGCAGAGTGCTTGGCATAGTACCTGGCACAAAATAAACTCTCAATAAATGGAGGTGATGAAGTATGAAATAAGCCACCCTCCAGGAATCTGCAGTCTAGAGGGCATAAAAAAAAAAAAAAAAGCGTATCTTAAAACTCTATTCCAGGTCACACAGTTATGGCTACTGGAATAAAATTTGAAGCAGAGTATCATGGAAATATAGAGCATTAAAAACTTGTCCTTAATTGGGAAATTTAGGGATGGTTTCTCTAAAAAAAAAAAAAAAAACGCAGACTGTAGATTTCTTCAACAGGCAGCTATTGGCAGTCAGGGCCTATTGCTGAGGAAGGATACTAAGAAGGGAGCTAGAATTGGAAGCAAGAGGCTTGCATTACCAGCATGCAACCTTGAACTATCCTAGCCCAAGTTTCCCTCCCAGTAAAATGGGGAGAATGCCACTAGCTCTGCCTAATCCCTGTACTGGTGTTGGGATCAAATAAAAGATTATGCGGATAGGGCTTTGTGAATCCTGAACATCACAGATGCAGTTGTGAAGGAAGGAGTAATTTTTATTTTCATGCTCGTGGAAATCCATTTATATTTCTCCATTCATAGTCCCTTGGCTCCCCGCCTTGTGGCCAATGGTACACGGCCAATGGTACACGGTACACTGACTTCCACAAGTCAGCTGGCCAGTACTCTTGTTGAAATGTTTGACAAAGTCTACTTTCGACTCGCATGCAAACAGAGGCAAGCTGTACACCAAATAGATAATTCAGAACAGATCATCAAACCGTCACTTCTGCTTAGCTCTGAAATTAGAAAAGGATGGACTGCACAGGAGGCGGCCTTAGATCACCTATGAAGTGAATAATTAAGAATTAACTCTAATAAGAATTTGCAAAGTCACTGTGCAAAGGAGCAGACCGCTGCCTGAATCTGAAAATCCAAGATGGCCAAGCAAGCAGATTTTAGCCCTTAGAACAGACTCTCTCTGTTGGCCTCTGTCTGTTGTCTTCGAGGGGACTGCTGAATCGGATGCATTCAAGCAAAGTCTGGTTTTGGCTCGGAGGCCTGGGATTTTGCAGTTTGCTCCGTCCAGGATGGGCTGTGTACATACCTTTGAGCAAATAGTTGGAGTGGCTCCCAGTTCACTCAGCCATCTGACTCTGTTACAAAGGAGGATTTATCTTTTTTCCTCCTTTGTCCAAACTAGAGGACAAAGAACGTGGCAGCTAGTGCCTGATCACCGGGTGTGCTGGAGCCTGCCAAAAAAGTAGAGCCAAAGAAACCCTTCCCCAGCGTGGCCCCGGTAGTTGCCCCCAAAGACGCTCACAAATATGCACCTTCCAGACTACTTCAAAGGGTAGGGGGCCCTGCAGATGACCCCTACAGCACCCCAAATGGTAGATGATAGCTGGGGTGCCATTACCCAGGTTAGGGATGCTGCCGTTACTGCTGCTCTGGGGTAGCCTGTCATATGTACCTGTATCTTTAAGGTCCTCCCTTTAAATGGTACGTTTGAGGGACCATAGTGTAGGGCAGTTAACCTGGCATTACACCACGTGCTTGAGAGTGTTCAGGTTCGCCTGACAATGAAGAGTTGGAGGTTAAAGGAACACATCTGAAATACAGTAATGAGCAAAAAACAAGAGGTCGTCATAGAGGGAAACGTGCGGGATTTGGAGTCAAGCGGGCCTCTTTGCATTTGAACCCTGTTATTTTCTGGGTGACATCAGACCAATCACTTAACCTTTTTGAGCCTCAGTCTCTTCATCTACAAAACGAGGATAATAATAGCAACAACTATCTCAAGAGGCATCTGGGAAGGAATAATGCGAAGCACAATCCCTGGCACCCAAAGAGTGCGCAATAAAATGGTAACTGCTAAAATAACTCCCAGGCTTCTCAAAATACTCAATTTGCTTTGCACGACTAAGACCATTTCCAGAAGTTGCATAAATACACTGCCTATAGAGCACGCTCGTTGCTTTGGTCTTTAAGGAGCTACAAAGCACCATGCAGAAACCATTGTTTATTCTTCTCGCAAAGCTGGAAGAGTGGGAAAGGGGAAGGGTTACAATTTTCCATTTCACAGATAGGAAATCAGAGGCATAGGAAAAGTCAATGACTTGCTTAATGTCACATAAAGCCAGCAGCACAGCTGTAATCGGTCATGACCTCCGGTGCAATGCAGCTTGTGTTCACCTTTTGAAAGTCAGGGGTAAGCAACTCCTGTCTGAGCTTTAATACCATCAGTCTAATTTCTCAGATTTTCTATAGCTGCTGATCTTGAGAACCTTTGAAGCTTTGGGGAAATCACATGGGTGATTTGACCTTAAATCTCATGCCACTGGCAAAAGATTAATTGCTAAGACCTGGAAAGAGGCCAGACAATTCTGTGCAGCTGAATAACAACACCGTCTAGGGATGTGACTGTCCTGACAGATTTAGTTAGTACATAATTGATAAATCTAGAGTTTGTATAGCTTCGCTTCCCAGATAGATAAGGTAACAAGGTTCCAACGGTTGACATTTACCGAAGTCCTACCAGTGTTTTGTAACACCGAATCTAAGTTTTCTACTCTGTTCCTCAGAACACTGCTCACTTTCTAAGGCTGTGTTCTCAGCAAGCAAGGAGATGGGGGGATCTGACAAGAGGCCACTTGCCTACTGTAAGCAAGAATGCCCATCATTCTTTAAGCACTGTCCCATGACTGCTTTTAAAATATATTTTTTAAATTTATTTCTAGGAGAGAGAGAGAGAGACAGCGTGAGCAGGGGAGGGTCAGAGAGAGAGGGAGTCACAGACTGAAACAGGCTCCAGGCTCTGAGCTGGCAGTCAGCACAGAGCCCGACGCGGGGCTCGAACCCACGAACCGCGAGACCATGACCTAAGCGAAAGTCGGACGCTTAACCGACTAAGCCACCCAGGCGCCCCCCATGACTGCTTTTAAAGTCTTATTCACCCTGACCCAGTGGAGGTGGAGGTCAGAGAGGCACGCAGGGCATAACATAGGAGCTAGGAATTATTCGTCACAAGCAGAATCCAGAAAAGATAAAAGGCAGCCAGATGCAACGTCAAAGCTTGGATAGTGGGTCTAAGCCCTGGACAGGAAGCTGCACAGCTGGACTCTTGGTCCAGAGTGTTGTGAGACCCTTCTGAGCAATTTGAACTCAGGCGCACAGAAACCTCAGCTTTTCTTTCTTTCACTTTGGTCACTCATTCCAGAAAGCATTTTGCCTATCAGAAAGAATTGTTCGTGGATATTTTTCACTGTAGTTTCTGTTCAGAGCCCATATAAGCCTGTATATAAGGTTACCTTTCCTTAATTCTTGCTGTCTAGTTTTATGTTGCAATTCAGGAGGCATTGTTGTATGCCTGATATACCAGTACGCTTTGGTAATTTTGTCACCTCTGCTTGTAAAATATCTGATGCAGTAGTTTAGGTCAGTAAATCAGTGGTGTACAGTGTACAAGATCTTATGGACAGTGGATCTGGCTTTTTGGTTTTTGCCAGAAGTGAATAAAGATGTCATTAAATAGCCTCCCTTGCCTTCACAAATAAAAACCTAGTGACTTCGTGTATTATAACAACATGTAGAGCTATTTTTCCAAGCTAGTTATTCTTTCTGAATATAATTTACTGATATACATTACCTTTTAATAATCATTTGGAAAAATCGTATGATGTTAATTGTATTGCATACACATGGCTTTTATATTAAAATAGTCTATAAGAGGGGCGCCTGAGTGGCTTAGTCGGTTAAGCGTCCGACTTTCGCTTAGGTCATGATCTCGCGGTTCGTGGGTTCGGGCCCCGCGTCGGGCTCTGTGCTGACTGCCAGCTCAGAGCCTGGAGCCTGTTTCAGTCTGTGACTCCCTCTCTCTCTGACCCTCCCCTGCTCACGCTGTCTCTCTCTCTCTCTCCTAGAAATAAATAAAACATTTAAAAAAATAAAATAAAATAAAATAGTCTATAAGATTGCTCCTAGAAACTTTGTCACGGAGCTAAGTAAGTGATTTTTGTTTTCTTTTACTAGATGAATTAGAGAAATTAGAACAGGAGAGGCTGGCTTTGGAAGCCACTATCAAAGATAACGAATGTGAAGAAGGAAGCGGAGGCATCCGAGGCTTGTTTAAAAAAGCTAGCAAGTTGAACATTACTAAGCCAAAGCCTAAGAAAGGTAAGTACTTTTAAAATTTACCAGAAAGAGTATGAAATGAGTCACTGCTTGAGTATCTATAGGGGTCAGAAGTCAGCATCTAAGATGTTGGGGTCATTGAGTGTAGCTAAGGACTGAAAGACATTTCTTTCAAGACAATAGCACAGATAAAATGTAGAAGTTGTTGTCATTCATCAATAACATTGAGCCCTTTGTACCATCTATTAATTTTAAAATAATAATATTTGGTTTGGGAGTCCTAAAGTGCTGAAGCAGATTTGAGTGCCATAAAGTAGACGTTTCGTAGTTAAAATGGAAAGGGGACTAGAAACTTTAAGAACCAATACCCAAATGGGTTTATCTGTAGACACACACACACACACACACACACACACACCTTGCAGACATTTAAGGAGACTTAAAGTTGACAAGTACAGGTAAATAGGGGATCCAGCTAGAACTCTAATTTCAGAAAAGCAACCATCTTTATCACAACCCAGAATTCTGAACTAGGAAGTACCTTAATACCAATTACCTGAAGTTTCAGCTGAGAAGTACACTTACCTCTGAATGTCCAGTATGCACTGCAGGAATGGAAGACCACAGAATGAGAACTTTTTGTAAAATTTATAAACAGGTGATTCAAATATATGACTTTTTTGAAAATAGAAAATTGCTTTCTTTCCAGAAACACTGTGGGTTTGAGTTTAATGAGGTCCATAGCGGCCTCTGCTGGTAGGAAATTATAATGTTAACGTACACAAATAATCCTGTACTTACCTGAAGTCATTTGGTATGAGGCTCAGAAAAGATCATTTCTCTGGGAGGGTTTTCAAGTCAAATAGAAAGATCCAAATTGCATCTTAGCAGGCTTCTGGGCCTTCAATGAGGGCTTCTAATACCCTGGAAAAAGTTTGGTCCTGTTTGCTCATTTTCCTACTGTAGCCCAAGGACAAAATTTTACCCATAACACAATATTTTTATATATTTACATAGAATAACATGAAATATAAACATTGCCCCCCCTTCAAATAGTAGAAGTACCCTCGAGTTTCTGGAATATTCCATGGGCTATAGGAAAGCCTATTATATATTGTGCACCTTAACATGACATTGTCTCGGAAAATAATATGTTTGAATCTCAAGCTGGAGGTATATCAGGACTTTCAGAATGCAAATATTAGAATAAGACCATCTAGATGCCAACTATCTTCTTTCCTTTTCAGTTATTTGGTTTATTCATGAGACATGTTAACTATTCATTGAATCTGCTCTACCATTCAGTTTTTCAATGTTAGTTACTGTCTGGAAAAGCAATGGAAAATTCAGAAGTCATAGCCCAATACTATTCTTTAGCTGATGGGAGAGGAGGGAAGCACCAATATTCTTATTGATGAGAAGGGACTTATTATTTATTCTGGAAGCCTGTTTCTGCATCACAAATCTTTTGGCAAAGAGGTACTCCTCTGAAAGTCAACATGTCTCATTGCTCAGAAAAGCCAAATAATGTTGTGTTTTATTTCCAGCACCTAAAATTTCAAACGCAACTTTTAAGTAGGCCCCTTCACTGCTCTGGGCTCTTGTTGGTTGACAACTCTTTTGAGTTCTAGATCAGGACAAACCCTACCTCCAGGCACTAATGCAAGAGTCCTCTGGATGCTTTGATTTGCATGTAAGTGGGGGCGGAGTTTGGTCCATTTTGTAAAGATATTTACTTTCTCCCTCAGCAGTCCTAGGGAGATAGAAGCAATGTAAGATAATTGCTTCAGAACTGACAGGCCCCAAACCTGGAAGCAGCAAAAGACAGAACAAAGCATCTTCAGAACCTCTCAGATCAGAGAGGAGGCTCGGAAGCAGCTGTCAGCCTGACTCTAAGCACTTGGCTGACATCATCTCTTTGAAATAGAGCAATAAAGTCACAACTTTAAAAGACATGGAAATGAGAAATAATATATACAGTGTAGCAACGGAAACCTCTACTGGCAAATAGGAGTGAGGTCCTGCTCAAATCAAACACTGGCCTCCTTCCCTAGTGGACTTTCAGTGTATCCTTGGTAGAGTGGAAAGTGCATCAAAAACATTTTTAAGTATTTTATGTGCACCCTTATCTATAATTCCAGTAAAGGAATTTTGTCTTTCTGTATTTCCTGGCCTCCTTCATCTCATTCATAGAGATTCAGGGAGCTCCACGGCTTTCCCTTAGCTTCACAAGTCTCCTTGAAAACAGAGGAACAAGTCAGGCTGACATTAGTTTCCAAAGGGTCATAGAGTCAAGATGCATTTGGTCCCTAGCCACCTTCATGATGCAGGCGTTCGTGGAATTTATACCAATTGTACTCACTGAATGCTCTAATGAAGGAATACTTCTGATTCTATTGTCTATCTCTAGAAAACCAATCACCACATTTCCTACTTTCAAGTAAATTTGAAAATATGATTGAGTTCTATCTGAAATCTTGAAAACTGGGGATATTTGGGCTAGTGCATCAGATAACTTAGCATTGTGACCTGTCTAAATAAGAAACTCTACCCTGGAGATTTGGACTTGAAAATAATCCACTGCTTTATAATGAAAAATGTAATCGCAAAACCAATACCATATATTTTTGAACTATTGAAGGTGATCTAAATTATTGTGGGACTTCACCTTTATCTCCCCTTTTCATAGCTTGCCGTTTACCTATAAGTATAAAAAACACTTACAAATTCATGACCCTTCCTCTTTTTTCCTGAACAGATCTATTGGCAAGTTATTTTGCTTCTTTCTTCAAAAGACCAATAGGTATATGACTTTTTCTTTCATTACAGACAGCAGCATGAGCACAATCCAGTCGATGCATGTGGGGGAGTTCAACCAGAAACTGGTGGAAGCCAGCACCCAGTTTAAAAAGAAGCAAGGAAAAGGCACAATTGATGTGTGGTGGTTGTTTGACGATGGAGGTAAAAACAATTCCAGAATATACACTAGGGAGCAGAATTACTGTGTTGATAAATTTAACAAACTGCATGGGAAGGTATATGAAAACGATATCAATTTAAGAATAATATTTTAGTGTTTTCCAGAGACTTTAAATTATTTAGGAGCAACAAATGTGGGAATGAATAAAGATATAAGGCTATTCATTTCCTTTCAGTGAGATATGCTCATACTTTCTGTCATAATTTACTCTTTCTTCAGGGTTAACACTCCTTATCCCCTATATCTTGACTCTCAGAAAAAAATGGAAAGACTGTAAATTAAGGATCTATGTTGGAGGGAAGATCAACCGCATTGAAGAAGAAAAAATTGCGTGAGTAACTCATCACTCTCGTGTTAGAACACTGGGGATGTTTCTTGTTTTAATGCTTTAATTTTAAGAACTTTAAGCGCTTTTGAGGCACAACAGATTTAAAGGTAAAGCCACTGCGGTAGGCCTGTCTACTTGGATTTCTGGTCGATAAATTGCATACATTTTATAATCACTGTCTTTATGTCCCTTGATCCCCTGTCACAAATGCTTTCAAAAGGGAATTTGACACACGTCTCATTTCTAGTCTTGAACGAGAGTATCATTATCTTGTATGTTGTTTGTTTGGTTTGACTAATAAATGTATATAAGAAATGAAAAGCCCGAAGGAATTTGTGTTCAACAGTTTCTTGGGGGCGGGTCAAATCTGTTGATTTGTGGTGGTCATTATAGCACAGTACACTTAAAATAGAACTCAAGGACTGAATCCAACCCGTGTTCCAGCCCTGCCACCAACAAGCTGCAAAACTATGTCACAGTCACTGCACGTATCTGAGTCCCTACTTTCTTGTCTGTTGTTTAAATGAATAACTGTTGAAAACTCTTTTATTTAAAAAAATAAATAAGTGCCCACCATGTAAGTTCGCAGCCTGGTCACTAATTTAGTCACAGAGAGCTGACATGTGGCTGTGGAGGCAACAAGCATATTGAGACCATGGTGCATCCAAAGGTCTCTGGTGAAAATCTGAAGAGTGACCTGGAGCAGCCCTTGGTCCCTTATGGTAGGACTGCATCCTGAGCCCTTCCAGATAGCCTTCCAGATAGCCCTTATGGTTACAGGTCAGTAACTATAAAAATCAGCAAGGTAATAACAGTAATATTAAAACTTGTCCCCTTTTTTCCCAAATGATAAGGAAGCATGTACGGCTCTGTATTGTCTTCCCTAGACCAAGAATGCTGAGTTGGATTTTCTATTTCCAGGGTTTGCCCCTGCATGAATTTCTCTTGGCCTTCAGTGGAATCGTGTGGTCCACATTTAATACACTGCAATGAAAATCAAACACTGACCACAGCCTTTGTCTAAAGTGAGGCTGAAATAAGACATGACTGCTTGTGATCCCTTACACACAAACCTCTTTGACTGAAAATAGTTAAACTAATTCTCTCTTATATTTTCAGAATGGCTTCCCTTCTGAGCAAATTTAGGATAAAATTTGCAGATATCCATATCATTGGTGACATCAACATTAAGCCAAACAAAGAGAGGTATGAAACATTTAACAAGATCCATGTTTACCCCTGCTACTCTCTCATTTTCTTCTGTGTTTATTATTAAGGGGTAGAGATGTTATCTATTCACTGTGGTGACTGCCAGCTAAGATCTAATAAAAAAGGACTTCAAATAATCATGCCGAGCTATCAAATAAACTCTAACAGAAGGAAAAGGTTTTATGTTGAGCTTGAGAGGGAGAACTGTTGAAACACGGGTTGGGTAGCATTTTAGAATTTCCCTTCCTGTTCTTGCTTTCTGTGGTGCTAAGAGTAGCAGGAAGCAGAAACTCAGACGATTTTGGATGGAGCATTCCAGGCAAGCTTTCCTCTTGTAAAATTCCTGGTGGGGCATCCTGTGGGGGGAGCTCTGATAGAAAAGATCCAAACAGGTTGAGCCTTCTTGGCAAAATGACAGAAAGGACCCTCTGGCCGTTTTCACTTTCAGGCACTAAGGACCCAGCAAGTCAAGCTATGAAATTTGGTAGTGGGGTGGGGGGAGGAGGTCCTCTAAAACTGAAGCCTGGCAAGGAAATTGGCTCCAAATTTTTTAAATGATGGGATTGAAATAACTGTTCAAATGTCTTCAGATCATGACATCATTTTAACCCTTGTTAATTGTTAAATCTGTCAAGTCCACAGGGTTTGAAAACAGTCTGTAGGTTAGATTTCCACAGGAGTTCCCAGAGGTGGAAGAAAATTGTCTGGAAATTATAGCTGATACTGAATAAACTACCTAGTGATAATTTAGCAGTTATAAAACGTTTTCAACTATTTACAGTCCAGAATCATATTTACTATTACATCTGGATGCAATTAAAATTTTTTTAAGTTGATTTATTTATTTTGAGAGAGAAAGATTGAAAACACATGCACATGCACATGGGGGAGGGGCAGAGAGAGAGAATCCCAAGCAGGCTCAGCTCAGTGCAATGATGTGGGGCTCAAGCCCACAAACTGCAAGATCAGGACGGGAACCAAAATCAAGAGTCAGATGCTCAACTGACAGAGCCACCCAGGTGCCCCAACATCAACATCTGTATGCAATTTGACACATTTAATTTGGTGCGGAGCGGGGCCTTCAAGGTTGAGACTACAAAGGGACACGAAGATCTCAGTATAGCTTAGGTTCTCGGTGGCCTGTTAGACCTCTTCTCATTTCTGTTGACGGTCAGTCATTTCTCCCTTCGCCTGTAGTTCTTGATGGGTTCCAGTTCCACACTCCAGTCTTATTGCCCTTCCCTTCTTTTGATTCATTGTTATCCTGGATGAGCTTAATAACTAACAGAAAACCATCCAGATGTAAAATGCATTCTTATTGACTAAACAACCTTGAACTTCATGTTATTTGAGTCTATTCATGATTTCTCTAAGGCTATGGGTCAATTAAAATGGTTTTATAAAACACCTTTTTAAAAAAAGTTTATTTATTTTGAGAGAGAGAAGAAAGAGAGAGAAGTGAGAAGGGGCAGAGAGAGAATCCCAAGGAGGCTCTAGACTGCCAGCATAGAGCCCAATGTGGGGTTTGAACACATGAACCTCAGGATCATGACCTGAAGCTGAAACCAAGAGTCTGATGATTAACTGACTGGGCCACCCCGGTGCCCCCAAAATATCTTAATTGTGATAAGAAAGCTATAAATGACAGAGTTCATTTGGGTTATTACCATGGAATATGTCCTCATATCATGTATACACTAATGTCTTATATTCCTCTATTTTCACAGCTCTAAATACTTAAGAAAAATTAAGAATAGAGTTTATAATTCTCCTTGGTAAATGTAATTAACTTTCATACGAACTGGGTTCTCATGGTAATATCTGGTAACCTCCCACATTTCATTTGAAGAATTTTAATTCCTAAGTCATCGCCTCTTGGCATTTGCAGTGATGTGATCAAACAGGCTCATCTTACGTCTCTAACTGGTGGAAATGCATTCTATTTCATAACACAGCAGATACAGTGATTTCCTAGCATGTGCTGCTTTGCAACAGCCCAGAGCCTGCCAGGGCTCTGCAAGCATAGGGCCATTTACTCTTGTCTGGAGGGTAGTCACAGTGTCCCCTACTGCCTTTGGATTTTCCAGAGGCCCTGGCTCAGTGCTGGGCACAAATTAGTCATCTATTTCTTGTAGCCAAATTCCTCTTGCTGTTGTTTGTCTTAGCTATAGCCAAGGAGTATCTGTGCTTACTGGTTAATTTGTTCCTATACCTTTGCCTCTATACCCATCAGTCTGGTTTTCTCTGCACAAGTCCTTGTTTCTTTCCCTTTCTCATGCTAGTCTCTGCCCAGCTGCCGTGGTCACCCCCTGCATGCCTGTCCTATCTGTCCTCCCATGAAGAACGTCAATGTACCTCTTCTACTAATGGGATTCTTTGAGTGCCCATCATAGTCTAGACATCCTGAACTTTGTGCCATGTTTTTTCTCTTTTCCGGAAGCAAACATTATGGAGAGTAGTAAGAAACAAAGGACCGGGCATGTTTGTTTTTGTCCTGCTATCTTAAGTTTGATTTTAGATGCCATTTTAACTTGGTGTTTCTTACGTATCTTCACCATCCTGCAATGAAGAGATCTATTTCCCTTTCTCAGGAAAAAAAAAAAAAAAAGGAATTAGATTTCACAATTTTGGAGATCTTTTTCTCTGATATTTCAAGGTCTTGAGGAAGACGCAAAAAACAAAATCCATCTTATATTGGAATAAAAGAATCTTTGCGGCTAATGTCTCCTGGTGTGAAGACAAAACACCACCAAGAAGAGGGGTGCTGGAAGCGCCGTTTTCCTCTCTTCAGCCTTCCACCATAGCTGATGCCATATTGCTTTGTAAAACAGTCACATACCTGGTGTTGGCAAATCTGTTCGAATAGATAAAGGTAACCCTATTTTAAAACAGAAAATCATCATTCAGTAAATCTCACACATGGCAACTGATAGCACATCTGACACTTTTGTGATAAATTTTTATTAAGTTTTTAATTTTAATTCCAGTATAGTTAACAGTGTACTATTAGTTTCAGGCATACAATATAGTAATTGAACAATTCTATATATTACTCAGTCCTCATCATTATAAGTGTACTCTTAGTCTCCTTCACCTATTTCACCCATCCCCCACCTGCCTCCCCTCTGGTCATCATCAGGTTGTTCTCTATAGTTAAGAGTCAGTTTATTGGTTTCTCTCTCTCTCTCTCTCTCTCTCTCTCTGTTTTTCCTTTTGTTTGTTTGTTTTGTTTCTTAAATTCCACCTAGGAGTGAATCCATATAGTATTTGTCTTTTCTGACTGGCTAATTTCACTTAGCATTATACTTTCTAGCTCTATCCATGTTGCTGCAAATGGCAAGATTTCATTCTTTATTATGACTGAGTAATATTCCATTGTGTATATATACACCTCTTCTTTATCCATTTCATCAGTTGATGGCAGTGGGCTGCTTCCATAATTTGGCTACTGTAAACAATGCTGCAAATAACATAGGGATGGATATATCCTTTCAAATTAGTGTTTTTGTTTTCTTTGGGTAAAATACCCAGTGGTGGTATTGCTAGATCACAGGGTAGTTCTGCTTTTAACTTTTTGAGGAAACTCCATACTGTTTTCCAGAGTGGATGCACCAGTTTGCATTCCCACCAACAGTTCACAGGGTTCCTTTTTCTCCATGTCCTCAGCACACTTAATGTTTCATGTGTTTTTTTATTTTGGCCATTCTTGTAGGTGTGAGGTAATATCTCACTGTAGTTTTGACTTGCATTTCCTTGATGATGAGTGATATTGAGCATCTTTTCATGTGTCTATTGGATATTTGCATGTCTTTGGAGAAATGTTTGTTCATGTCTTCTGCTCATCAGGATTATTTACTTTTTGGGTGTGGAGTTGTGTAAGTTCTTTATATATTTTGGATACTAACAGTTTATGAGACATATCATTTACAAATATCTTCTCTCATTCATTAGGTCCCCATTTAGTTTTGTTGATTGTTTCTTTCAGTATGCAGATTTTTATTTTGTTTTATTGTATTTTATTGTATTGTATTTTATTTTATTTTATTTAGTCCCAATAGTTCATTTTTGCTTTTGTTTCCTGTTCCTCAGGAGACATATCTAGAAAAATATTGCCATGGCTGATGTCAGAGAAGTTACTGCCTGTGCTTTCTTCTAGGATTTTTATAGTTTCAGATCTCACATATACATCTCTAATTCATTTTCAGTTTATTTTTGTGTATGGTGTAAGAAAGTGGTCTAGTTTCATTCTTTTATATAGAGCTGTCCAGTTATCCCAGCACCATTTGTTGACTAGAGAGTCTTTGCACAGCTTTACTTCCTTTGTTGAAGATTGATTGACTATATAATCATGGGTTTGTTTCTGGGATTTTTATCCTGTTCCATTGATCTATGTGTCTATTTTTATACCAGTACCATACTGCTTTGATTACTAAAGTTTTGGTAGTATAACTTGAAATCTAGAATTGTCATATCTCCAGCTTTGTTTTTCTTTTTTCAAGATTGTTTTGATTATGTGGAGTCTTTTGTGGTTCCACTTAAATTTTAGGATTATTTGTTCTAGTTCTGCGAAAAATGCTGTTGGTATTTTGTTAGGGATTGCATTAAATCTGTAGATTGCTCTAAGTAGTACAGGCATTTTAACAATGTTTATTCTTCTAATCTATGAGCATGAAACATCTTTCCACTTGTTGGTGTCATCTTCAATTTCTTTCATTAATGTTTTATAGTTTTCAGAGCACAAGTCTTTCACTTCCTGGTTAAGTTTATTCCTAGATATTTTATTATTTTTGGTGAAATTTTAAATGGGATTTCTTTCTTAATTTCTCTTTCTGTTCCTTCATTATGAGTGTATAGAAGTGCAATGGATTTCAGTACATCGATTTTGTATCCTGTGACCTTACTGAATTCATTTATCAGTTCTAGTAATTTTTAGTGGAATCTTTAGAGTTTTTGATATGAAGTATCATGTTATCTGCAAAGAGTGAAAGTTTACTTCTTCCTTACCAATTAGGATACCTTTTATTCCTTTTTCTTGTCTGATAACTGTGGCTAAAACTTCTAGTACCAGGCCCTGTAAAAGTGGTGAGAGAAGACATCCTCACCTTGTTCCTGATTTTAGAGGGAAAGCTTTCAGGTTTTCACAATTGTTTATGATTAGTCATGGGTTTTTCACTTATAGCCTATAGTACATTGAGGTATGTGCCCTCTAAACCTACTTTGTTGAGGCCTCTGTCATAATTTTTAAAAGGCATCTCCTCTGAGTCATTTAATTAGAGGAAGAAGACTTTTCCTCTGGGCTGATCCAGCCCTGTTTCCAGGGCCCTACACTCCGAGCACCAGCTCAACGTCAGCTTTTCATCACTAGGCAGCCCCTATCTACCATTAGTAATCATTTCTCCATCACTGAGCTTTTCTGGTCACCAGGTGACACACAGTGTCAAAAAGAGTTTGTCAATGATTCCCATGGTGGAGGCTAATGTTCAATGCCTTAAGTTACCTCTCATAAATCTTTCAACTACCCATAAGGCATCAGTAAGTCTTGATGGAGCTATTTTATCATAGAAACATTATAAATGTGGCTGGGCAGGGGTGAAAGGGAATATAAAAGCAAAGTTAATGAGAAAATAATTGAGCCTAGAGAAACTGAAAATCTCTTGTGGTTAAATTCATCTTTTATTGATATACTGAATTAAAAGCCATAGGCCAAAAAGACAGTCTTTATGTAGAAATTAAGGAGAAAGTAGAAACAATCAACTGGATAATTTAGTCTAAAGCTACTAGAGTGGTCACAAAACAACTGGTATATTAATTTGAGAAAAGAAATCTTATAAGGACTTAGGGAAACAGTATTTTTTTGCAATTAAAAATTTTTAAACTTTGCTATTGTGAAGAATAGGATGGAGAAGGCAGGACAGGTATAAGGTAATTTTTTTAAATTGAATTCATTGCCATTTACATTCAATAGCATGTAAATCTTGGCCTATTCTAGAGGCAATTAAAAAAGCATTTATAAGAAAAATCAGAATTTAATGAGAATCAGAATAGAAATCTTGAGACACCTTTGCATCACCTAGCTAGGAGGATGGAAATAGTCAGCTCAGGGATGAACCTTAGGATGAAGAAGTCAAAGATGAACATGGATGAAGAACCGTAAGAGTTCAGAGAAAATAAATGGGCAAATACAGTCCCATTATAAACTATTAGGTCACTTAGCATGTTTCAATGCAAGGAAAAGAAAACTTATAGTGACTTGAAAAATGGAAATTATTGGCAAACATAACTGAAAAGTCCAACTATGTTTTGGCTTTCAGGCAAAGTTTGATCTAGAAGGTTAATTTTGTAATCAAGGACTAATTCTTTTCCATATTCTCTACCCTACTTTCCATTATGAAATCATCAATCAAGATGATTTAGCTCATAAAAACAGGATGACAGCCAGCAGCATCCAGGATTACATACTTGCTCATTTATGTTCAGTGGGAGAGAAAGTTTATCTCTTCTCCCATCATTGAACTCAGGTCATGGACTCCATTCAGGTTGTACGAGCCTGAGCCACTGAGCCACTTATTGTGGTCAGTGGAATGTTAGATACCTCTTGGTCAACCTTGCCTGGGCTATGTGTGTACCCTGGCCAAATGCTCTGGTAGAAGGAATAGAATTGTCCTGATGAGCCGATGCTGAGGATGGAGTCACTCCCATCCAAACAATATGGGGGAGGGGGTGAGGGGAGGGGGCATAGTATGAATACCAGGGAGACAACAAGCTACCTCTACTCCACTTCCATGTCTTAGGAAACTAGTTCTGAACTGGTGTTTCTAGTAAGCACCAGGGCTGATATGCAAAGACGCTTACCCTGATCAAAATAAGTACACGAAGGGCTTAAACAGAGAGAGTCAGTTGCTAACCCCAGCCCTGTGACTGTTCAGTAAAATGAATGCCTTGGTTTTACAGGGCCCAGTACACTTTTCAGAGCACTGTCACCCAGATCACATCTAACCATCACATCAATCTTCATTGCCAGCTCTGAGCGACCATCTTTACCTCCTTTTATAGGCAAGGTTATCCAGGTCCAGGAGGACAATGGAAGAACGGGACTAAGAACTCAGGCTCTTCTTTCCTAGACCAGGATCTTTCCATTGCACAGCTTACTGCCAAAGGTCTCTGAAGGCATGGCACTGTTAGAAGGAATAGCAAATGGAAGTATTGTGTAGTTGAAAGAAGAATAAGGCATATCAGTAGTTCTCTGTTGTTGTCTACCGCTCTAAATAAGTCAAAGTGTCAGAAATCTACTACATTCAGTAGCTCTTCAATCCCTAACAAAGGCACACGGGTACATTCTCCTTTGTAATCTCTGCACTTTGATCTGCAGATCCTAAATCAGGGCAACTGATGAGATCATTGAACTCATCCCTTCATATTTTAATTCCTTAACCTAATAGCACTTTGATTTTAGTTACCCCTCATTCCAAAGGTACTAAATTATAAGTAAGCTACATTATAGAAAACCAAAAGATATTGTTTACATTAAGGATCACTTTAAAGTAGCACACTGAAGACAACTACTCTCATAAATTATAAGCTTTGTTTTGTACTACTGTTTAAAAAAAAATCTTACGAGGTTCTTATGAAAGACAAGAATGAGATTTTCCAGCAAGTTTTAAATTAGTCCACAGCTGTGAGATACACTGCTACTTTTCTACTCAATGACACAATCTTAATTGCTCTCAAATGGCTTTGGATTTTTAGACATTAAAATATTATCAATTTTTGTTTTCTTTTCCATAACATGCACCTGAAAAATAATCCTTTAAAAATCTCAGACAGGGGTTGGGGCGCCTGGGTGGCTTAGTCGGTTAAGCGTCCGACTTTCGCTTAGGTGATGATCTCGCGGTTCGTGGGTTCGAGCCCCGCATCGGGCTCTGTGCTGACTGCCAGCTCAGAGCCTGGAGCCTGTTTCAGATTCTGTATCTCCCTCTCTCTCTGACCCTCCCCTGCTCACGCTGTCTCTCGCTCTCTCTCTCAGAAATAAATAAAACATTAAAGAAATAAATCTCAGACAGCAACAGCAGATATCAGAAGGACAGAAGCTTCATTACATGCAGCAAACATTCAAATTGCTCTAGAACCATTAAATCTACTATTCTAGCTGTCCTCAGCCCCCTGCCAGCTGGGGGAGGGCTGCTTGGACTAAAGGTGAGGGCAGGCCTCGCCAACTCCCACCCCAAGGAACCTAGCTCATCTCCCACATTAATCCATAAATGTCTCCCATACGGTCTGTACAATAAGCAGATGGAAACTCAGTTAAGCAGATGGAAACTTATTTATGGGCTAATGTGTCTCCGTTACAACTGTGTCTTTGTACCATGTAGAAAGTGTGTTTGCAGAATAATTACTATCTGTGTGTTGGTGCATTTATATTGAGGATCTAATACCCAGTAGGCCAACAAGGCCTCAGACATGTTGAGGCCTTGCCTTGGGTAGGGAGGCAGTACCATATCGGTGGCTTTCCTCACAGTAAGTCCCCTGCAAAGATAATTCTTAAAAGATTTGCATGACATTCAGCTCTGAGACTGCAGCCAGCAGATCCAGTCATACCTGGAGTATCTGTGAAATAATGAGTTAGTTTCCCACTGTGAGCCCTCCTTTATAATTCCAATTTCAGCTGGAAAGTCTTTGAAGAGATGATTGAACCATATCGTCTCCATGAAAGCTGCAAAGATTTAACAACTGCTGAGAAATTAAAGAGAGAGACCCCGTGGAAAATTACAGATGCAGAACTGGAAGTAGTCAAGGAAAAGGTAAGGACTTGTCTTCCTTAATTTTTACTTTACTGTTTAAGGAGCTGAAAAAGAAAACAGCCGTTGATTTAATGATCAAGAAGTCACAGTATCTGTTATAGAATTTCGTTATTCAAGATCCAGGGTTTCTGCATTTTTCAAGTACTTTTCATTCATTATGCTAGATATGAAAATTTAGAAAGTAGTTTCCATTTTTAATATGAAATCATTTCTTTTTTAAAAAAATTTTAAAAACCCAGATTATTGATATATATTATCAAGTCTTCTTTCAGATTTAATTTTATAGAATAGGAGATATACCCATCAGTCTAAAATAACTTAATTCAATATGTGTGCAAAGCAGATCCAGGTAGTTGATTCACAATTTAACACAGTAACCAAGAAATTTTAACCTGATGAGTTTATGAAAGCTAACAAAGGGATCTGAGAACATATGTAATTGGAACAAGGATTGTGAAAGTTAAATTGGGCACATGTTGTAGGATGGATATAAAGTGGGGAACTTTTTTTCAGAACCCAGAAGATGGAAGTTACCCCATGTGTCCCGAGCTGAATGAAGTTGTGATAGTGAGGAGAATGAAAAGGGCTGGGACAAGAGAATTAAGTAGTAGAACTGAGATTTGAATTGCATTGGACATTCAAGGAAAAGGACCACAGAAACCTCTAAACCACAGAATTTAAATAAACTACATTAGGATCTGAACTTGAAACAAATTAGAATAAGAGATACTAAAGCCTTTCAAATTTAGTAGAAAAAATACCGAGCTAATTTTTTCCCTTAATGTTTGTTTATTTACTTTTGAGAGAGAGAGTGAGTGAACGAGCGAGCACAAGCGGGGGATGGGCACAGAGAGAGAAGGAGACACAGAATCTGAAGCAGACTTCAGGCTCTCAACTGTCAGCACAGAGCTCAATGCGTGGCTCGCCTTCACAAACTGTGAGATCATGACCTGAGCTGAAGTCAGATGCTTAACCAACTGAGCCACCCAGGAGCCCCTGAGCTAAAATTTATAAACTGTATATAATAAACTGCCCAGATCTAACAAAGATTTTTCATATAATTGAGCAAATCATACATCTAAGCCTTGGTCTCTGAACCAATGAAATATAATAATAAATAAATATCACTCTCATCAATGCAAAATCATCATTGTAGTTATTTTTCCAAGTGAGTCTTTGGTTGACTTTTTAGTTGAAATCAGTCCCCTATGCTGATAAAATATTCAAAGAGCCTAAACGATGTAGGTGAGGATATAATTTATTTTCTTAGGTATCAAGATTCAGTTAGTTTTCTTCCACCTCAAACCCGTCCCCAGATCTGGCCCTTCTCATCTTCTCTTTACTATTATCCATGACTTCTGCTTGCTTGTTTTTTCCCTTAGAATTTAATAAGCCACTATTGCACAATGACAATTATGTTTTATTCTTTATGTTTCTAAAAATTCTCATGAGTTTTTAAAACGCCGTTAGTTTCCAAATATGCATGAAATCATTGTAATTTTTTAAAGCGAGGCTTTTGTACTTCTCCACAATTTGAGGGAAGAAGATAGATTCTCATTCATAATGCTGGTAGAACTGCCCTCCACAAAATCTAAATGTTGTCCACAGAGTTACCGCCAAGTTCGCCTGAATGAACTCCTACAGGAACACTCAAGAGCTGCTAATCTCATTGTCCTGTAAGTATCACTGCAGACATGTAAGAATGTTACAGGGAAATCTTAGGTAGTAAATGGGTTAATCAACTTAAAAAGTCATAGTTGAAAAAATTTTGGAACGTGTGGGACTTAGGCAGTGAAGGAAAATAAATGCCACCCTGAGACCCTGCCAACTGGAGCCCATGGGCTTTAGAAGGTCCCACTTGGACTTTCCATCCGGCCTGCCCTACCTATGGGGCCAGGGCATGTGCTCATGTAGAACCCCAGCTCTCCCTTCAGACCATGCTCCAGGAGCCTGACCCTGAACTCCCTGCCTAACAGGCCTTAAGTCAGCCCCTGAGGCTCATGGGCTCCCCCTCTGGGAGTGCTCCTGAGATAGAGTGTACAGCATGTGCAGGAAGCTCCTTGCTATGTTGGAAGAGATCAGGATGGGAGAAAAAGGCAGGTGACTTTCCCATTTCCACTCTTACCCTTTACCTCACAAATGTTAGAGGTGTGTCTGTTGTAAATATGAATGTTTACTCAAACATTGATAGCTAAACATGAAAACCAACTATCTTACGTTTATACCGCATGATCTGATTCCTATGTGTGAAGATTAATACGACTTGAAGGTCTATACTGGAGAACTCTCCACCTAAGACCTAGAACAGTCTCCCAAATTGGGTGAGAGGGTTCAAAGAGCTGTTTTCCGAGATTTCTGCCACATATAAGAGCTTTAAACTACTGAGAATATCATTTCCATCAAAGAAGGAGAGGTATTGCTTGATCAAATTTTCTACTTAAAGAGGAGTGAAAATTTATAGTTACGTTTTGTTGCTACTCTACAATGCCTAAGCCTATTTTTCTGGTTTATGGATTATTATCTGAAAACAACATCAGTTTAACATCTATATTCAAAATAATGTCAGTGCTTTCGGTTTGGGGGTGAAGGGTTATAAGAGTTTCAGGCCACTGGTTATTAAATGGCTCAGTTGACTAGTGATGCTACTGCCTGTAGTAATTGTCACTTTTAAATTTTTCTTCCATGCTATCAGGAGCCTTCCAGTAGCAAGAAAAGGATCTATATCAGATTGGTTGTACATGGCTTGGTTGGAAATCCTCACGAAGAACCTCCCTCCTGTTTTACTAGTTAGAGGAAACCACAAAAATGTGCTGACATTTTACTCTTAATACATGAAGGATAAGAACACATCTTAACTTAATGTAGAGATAATTAAGAACCATCTTGTGGTACTTTACGTTGTAAATCTGATCTATGGGTATGCGAACGTCGGAGACAATGGCACAGGATTCCACATAAATTATGTCATTATTTTTTTCTTGGTTACTGGGGGCTATTGTTTTCTTCTGTCAGCTTAAGAGGATGTCCAAGACAATGCTACCCCTAGAAAAACATCTTTATTGTTGCTGTGGATAAACAAGAAAATCAAGGAAGCCATGCTGGCTTATGCTTATGAAAGCCACCAACTTGATTGTAAGCTTCTCCAGGCAAAGTTAATCTTTTGTTTGCTTCTAGACCCCAGGAGAGGCCTCAGCCCCACAGCAGGTGTTCATTAAATGCTTATTGACAGGCTGGTATAGTAACGATGGGTGGTTATCAAAGGAAAAGACAGGCTGGGCAGGAGCCCTGATTATGCTTGGCCTTCTGAGAGGCTTAGACCTACAAAGATTTGAAAATCAATAACTGAACACTTTAAGAAGTACTTGAGTCTACAAAATGTTTAAAGCAGTTACCTAAATACGGTTATTTAATGTAACATAGCTTATATACTTACAGTGATCTGAGCGATCATTGATAACATATGGCTTCAATTTGCTGCTGACTGAAGAGTACGTTAGCTGGATTAGAAGGCAACAATATTCCAATTAAATAAACTAGATTCCATTCTAATAGATAAACTTTAATTGTTTCGCCTACTAAATATTTTGAAATCTCCATCATAGTATTACTTTGCATATTTTTTTCTGATTAAGTGCTTAGCACTGATGAAATCTTCATAGATGTCTAATTGAAAACGAAATACCACAAATTTTCAAACCATTATAAAGAAATATATCCTGAATCATATACTTAGTTACTCCATATAGTGATTGTGTTGATTGAAACGAGTAATTAAAATGTAAAGTGGAGAAACCTATAAAGTTACAAAACTGTATGTTGTATATAACATGCAAGTCTTGACTTTTTTTCTCTGTTAGTATTCCTATTATACTTAATCACATTGACAACCCAATAATTTTTTTTCGGATGGATGTCTTGATTTTTTTTTTCCTAACATGTTTTGACTGTTTATCCTAACTGGTAAAATACAAGGGAAAAAATGAACCTGAAATAAAAGCACTGAAATTTGTTTGCTTTGGCCTAGGTCATGTTTTTACTTTTTAGTCACTAAGATCACGGTACAATGGCATATCAAATGTGAGCATTAAAAATTCAATCAGTTGTGGGCACCTGGCTACACAGTTATTTAAGCGTCTGACTCCCTATCTTGGCTCAGGTCATGATCTCATTGGTTTGTGAGTTTGAGCCCCGCATCAGACTTCACACTGGCAGCGCAGAGCCTGCTTGGGATCTGTCTCTCCCTCTCTGCCCCTTCCCAGCTCATGTTCTCTTTCACTGTCTCTCTCTCAAAATAAATAAACTTAAAAAACATTCAATCAGTTGCCTCGTCTGAAGTTTGTTTGAAACTGGGAATCAGGATTAGGAATTCCAAGCCCAGACTCAGCTTAGGAGGATAACTAGGGAGGGAAGGGGAAAACAGCAAAATTTAAGGAGCAGGCTAGCCGCACTCCAAATCCAGGACCTTTTGCCTAACTCAGCCCCAGATCACACCATCTCTCTTGAGCCCTACGTAACTGAAATTCAAAGACTATGTGAGGTGCAGGTGCGGTCCCTCCCAGGGGAGGGAGCATGCAGCTTCATGTGGACCTGACAATTCTCCGAAACACTTCAGAGAAGGTATCTGGGGAAAGTGAGAAGTAATAAGGCTTCCGTAACAGGAGAGTCTGGAGCTTTTGTATCCTTGAGAGGCTGCTGCCCATTGGGTTCCCTGGGAAACAGACTCTGAAAGAGCATTTAGCATGGAGCCTGTTTGTTAAGGAGTGTTTTGGGGATCAACACCCGTGGAAGGAAGGGAGAGGGAGGAAGCAGGAAGGGTGAACGAAAAGGTGGGCAGTGACGCAGGCCCAAGGACAGCCTCGGCCAACCCCACAGGGAGCTCTGGAGACAGAAAGTTCCTTCAGAGTAGTCCCAAGCAGGGCTGAGAGGGCCAGGCCTTTATATTTATGCATTGATTCATCGCTGGATGTGTGCTGCCCAGGAAGGGGTGTGACCCTGGGTGAGGCAGTTCTCTGCAGCCAAGGCCTCCCCGTGGGGGCTGAGAGCTGAAGTCTGTCTGCTGACTGCACTCCCAGTGCCTGGGGCAATAAGTCCCTCATTAAACAGGGCCTGGTAGAACATGACCATGTCCATCACAGGGGTCCTGGAAAAAAGTGCTCTTAAAAAACACAACTTGGACTGGCCTGAGTTCAGATTTTCATCTCACCATTTATAGTAGTTTGACCTTAAACTATTTAATTTTCTGAGGGCTCCTGGAAAGACTGGCTGATATCCCTGGGTTCCAGGTTAACAACAGAAGTGTACATGGACGGAGAGAAAAGGGTCAGGTGACTGCGGTTTTGAGACCCAGAGTAGGTTAGGTGAGGACAGCAGAAAAGTGAATGGATGGAGGCAGTGGCCAGACACCAGCAGACTTTTGTAGCCCTTAATGCCCTGTACTTGTCCCATGCTTCACTCATCTCGATTAAGCCAACCACTCATCATGTCCCTGTCTACACTCAACTTTCTGCGCAGGAAGGAGAAAGTTGAGCAATCACCTGCATTGGCGTCAAACTTTCTCAGTGCTCTCGCTTTGTCTACGTTTCTCCTCAGCCTCCCCACTTCTTCCTCATGATGGCTTCTCAAAATCTGCATCACTTTTTCAGTTGATGGCCCTGCCACCATCCCTACAATGTAACTATGTGCAATAGGTATAAACCTTTCTTACCCAAATAGGACCATTCCGGGAGCATTGTCTTACAAGTCTTCTCTTAATACTCAGTTCTAGAAATTTTTATTTGGAAACAAACAAAAAAAAAGATTGTAGATTCTTGAGGACTACTATAGGCCTGCTAAATTAGAATCTGGGAGAGGGACTGATGATCTGTAAGATTTTGGAGCCTGCTCCAGGCAGTTTCTCCTATTTCTGTGACCTGACTGCCACCACAGGCTCATGGCTCCCAACTTTGTATTTCTCATCCACATCTCCCCGAAGTCTCAGATCCAAATATTCATAGTGTTTCTCTTTGTAAGTCCTACAGATACATTAAGTGCAGGAAGATCAGACTCGTGTTCAAAAAGAGAAATGAAAAAACAAAAAACACCCCAAATGCACAACTGGAGCAAAGGCTTTCTTTCCCTATTGTCTATTAGATCACCCTGAAATGACCAAAGAAATGAAAATAGGAAAGATCTGCATCACAGTAGGAAACTAAGAAAGGATACCATCCACATGGTAACACTTTTTAAAAAGCAATCAAGCATAGGGGCACCCGGCTGGCTCAGTCAGTTGAACGTCCAACTCTTGATTTTGGCTCAGGTCATGATCTCATGGTTTGAGGGATCAAGCCCCATCTCAGGCTCTGCGCTGACAGCTGTGAGCCTTCTTGGGATTCTCTCCCTCTTTCTCTGCCCTTCCCCTGTGCTCTCTGTCTCTCAAAATAAATAAAAACTTAAAAATTAAAAAAAAAAATCAAGCTATAGTTTACCTGGGACAAGATTAAAGGAAGCTATCAAAGGTCAGCTTGCAACCAATAATATTCCACGGAAAAAAATCACAGGAGACCCTGAGAGACTTCCACTAACTTGACCCACAATTTTCATCTGGAGATGAGAAAGTGGAGACAGGCCAGAGTAAGGCACTGAGTGGGATCTGTGTTGCTGGATACAAAGAGTATTCAGAAAAGACCACCAGTGAGGTCACATAAGCACTGCAAGCAGACATAGGTGTTGCAGTGGGGCATCTCTCAAATACCCTGGAGAGGTGCCAGAAAGTTATGTGCTTGCCATAGAGGCTGAGCCCAAGAGAAAATCAACTTTCAGTGAACAGCATCTCTAATACAAAGAAGAAAGCTCGCAGGGATGGGTGATCCAGGTCCTGGGTCTCACTGTTTTCAGGCTGCCAGGCTACTACACTGGCCCTGAATGATGATATCACGCAGGCCCCCAGTAAGATTAAATAGGAAGACTATCACAATAACCAAGAGGTGTGGTAGAGGTCCCTGTGTCAACCACAAGTCCTGTCACATCAGCTTGTCATCAGTGTGGTTTAAAAGACTCAGCACCCAGGGCACCTGGGTGACTCAGGCTGTTAAGCATCTGACTTCTGCTCAGGTCATCATCTCGTGGTTTGTGGGTTCCAGCCCCATGTGGGGCTCTCTTCTGTCAGGGTGGAGCCTGCTTCAGATTCTTTGCCCCCCTCTCTCTCTGCCCCTCCCGTGCTCGCTCTGTCTTTCAAAAATACATAAAAGAAGAAAAAGAGTCAGTGCCCCATGGGGTCCTTGCTGATTGGATGTTGCCCCGAAGGTCACTAGACATTTCTACTGCTTCCCTCTGCAGAGATTAGGGGCACACTGACATGGGGGTGAGATCGGTCTTGACTCCACAAGGGGAGAAGAGAAAGTTCTCTTGGGGTGTGAGTCACTTTAGTGCTACTGCATCCCAGCTGCTGACAACTCATGTCACCCCATCAGTTAGCTGCAGTAATGGCCAAGAAGTCAGACCTTGCTCCAGCCCCAGTAGGTGGCCCAGGTACCTCTGCGGAGCCACCAGCTCCCCTGCGCCATCAGCCCTGGTCCACAGGTGGAGCCTCCTCTCCTCAGCAAGGCGTGGCCCGTCTTCTTCACCTCTTTTAGGATTTCTGATGTTGTAGCAATGATGTCAGCCCTCCTTTTTTGTGCAGAGAAAGTGATTTCAAAAAAACGTGTAAGATTTCATCTCATCTGTGACACGCTTCTAAACACACTGTTATTTTAGGTCCCACTAAGGAAGAAAAGTCTCTGCCATTTAAATATGTCATGGTATTCTGTCACTTGTCATTTTTGTTATATTGAGATACCGTTTTAAGGCTTAA